AGAATAAACTTTCAAACTCTTATATATATATATATATATAATAAAACATGAGTGTGTTTGAATTTATCTCAGTCATATTTTTCCCCTCAAAATCATCACCAATTACTTACTTTACCTATCATCCTTTTGTCAGACTCAAACGTCAAATCACATCACTCATTTCTATCACATATTTAATTATTTATATATTTTCTCCTTAAAAATATCACACCACTCATTCTATCATATATTTAATTATTTAATATTTAATTAATTTGTAGTTAATATATTTTGAAAAAATTTAATATGGTGGAATCGATTTTTAAATGCTCGAATTTTATATTTTATCGTGTCTTCAGACACGGATTATGACTAGTATATATATATAAGAGGGAGAGATTCAAAACAAAAAATTATAATATTAAATATTAACTTATAAAAAAAATAATAATAACACTGAATATTAATCAAGAAATGATAACATGAATAGTTAATAATTGCATATGCGAGAAAATAATAACATTCTCACAAAAAAAAAATATCAAAAATTAACCAGAATTGTGGGTCAGAATAGTAACACTAAAATCGAAAAAGAAATAATAGTAACATTCAAATAAATAATCACGAATATGGAAAAGCATTCAAGACATTTTTGTTACATATATTGAAGACCACCAAAACAAAATATTCAAAGCCCACCAAATCAAATTGGGAAACAAAACAGAACTCTCAGCTGTAATTGCTCAAAGCCCACCAAAACAAAACATTCAAAGCCCACCAAACAGAACATTGCGTCTGTAATTGCTCAAAGCCCACCAAAACAAAACATTCAAAGCCCACCAAACAGAACATTGCGTCTGTAATTGTTCAATGTTCTCGTCGATCGGCTCCGATCGCTCTGCTTTGTAGGGCTTGCACGTGATCAAAGACCTCTTTTCATCATCCTTTTGACGATCTCTTCAAAGACCCAAAACTCTCAATCGAAGAAACACATAGAGGTTTAGAGATGGAAACAATTTAGCTTTGACAATATTTCTTAGTTGTTGAAAGCGGTGATAGAGCCAAGAATTGTTGTGACGGCACCAGACTTTTTTGCCGGAGAATTGATCTGGGGTGGGGGAGTTAGGGTACAGTGAGGGAGAGGCAGATAATTGAGAGGGCAGAGAAATGAGAGGTAGAGAGATAGTGAGGGAGAAAGAGGAGTGATTGATGGAATTGTTTTTACTAAATTTGTATTTTAAATTATATGAAATTTTTTTTACAAGATCATCTTCATTGAACGTGAATTAAGGAGTAATTAGTTTCTCAGTTTTTGAAATTTACTTTGAATGTAAATATAAGGATATTTTGGACTAATTAAATTTTTTTTTAATTAACTACTTACTAAAAGATAATAATAATTTTTTTGACTTAATTACTTACTAAAATCTGATTTCTGGTATTACAGTTGGAAGAGGCTGTCTTAGAATATATTACCTCTTATTTGTAGATGATAGCTTGCTTTTCTTTAAGAACTCTATACAAAAAGCACTAGCAGTCAAAGATTTGTTATATTTATATGAAGTAGCTTCGGGACAAGAAGTTAAAAATGACAAATCAGCCATGGTATACTGCAGAAATGTCCCAGATGTCAGGGCTGAAGAAGTAAGATCGATACTAAAGGTTCCAAGAGTCCAACAACATGAGAAATATCTTGGTTTGCCATTAGTTGTAGGCAAATCCAAGAAAGAGGTATTTGCAAGTATAAGAGAACGAGTATGGAATAAGTTGTAAGAGTGGAAGGAGCAATTATTGTCTAAGGCAGGGAAGGAAGTCCTCATTAAAACAGTAGTTCAATATATCCCAACCTATGCAATGAGGTGTTTCAAACTCCAAGATTATCTATGCAGCGAGCTCAAATCCTTGGCATCTAATTTTTGGTGGGGACAAAAAGACAGGGAAAGAAAAATTCACTAGGTGAAATGGGCAGAAATTTGCAAAAGCAAAGCTAAAGGTGGTATGGGTTTCCACGACTTGAGAACTTTCAATTTGGCGATGCTAGCCTAACAAGCACCATGAAACCAATTCCCTTCTTCATAAAGTGTTGAAAGCCATATATTTTATGAATGATTTGTTTATGATTGCTAAACTCTGATATAGGCCCTCATACTCTTGGAGAATCATTTTTGAAGCTAGGAGAGTTTTAGAAGCTGGATTTAGATGGAGGATTGGCGATGGGTCCAAAATCAAGGTTTTGGCAAGATAGGTGAATTCCTACTTCAACGACTTTTAAGGTTGTTACTCCTAAGAATGCTTTGCATGATGAGGCCATAGTCAATGATCTTATTGATTCAACAACTCACTAGTACTACAAGGAAAGTTTGATCAATGAAGTTTTTCTAAGTCACGAAGTGGAGGCGATCAGGCGAATACCCTTGGGTTCCTCATTCGTGGAAGATAAGCTCATATGACATTACAATTTGGAGGGCATATTTTATGTCCGAAGTGCATATCATCACATTTGACCGAAAATTGGCTCACCTAACAAATCTTGAAGCTACTTCTTCATCATCAGGTTTCGAACATAACAATTGGAATTTCATTTGGTATCAAAAGTTACCAAATAAAGTTAAAATCTTTCCTTGGAGAATGGTGACTAATACTCCCCCTACTAATGAAAATATTATGCGAAGGAGAATCCAGACGGATGACAGATGTTGTGTTTGTGGAAATGAATCTGAAACTGTGATGCATATGGTGAAAGAATGTGCTTGGGCCAGCGGGTCATGGAAATCCAGTCCACTAAACTACCTAATGCAATGTAAAACAAGTTGAATCTATAGTTGGGTGTGGGAAATGTCACAACAGATGAATCTATATCAATTCTCCCTATTCTTGGTCCATTATTGGTTAATTGGGATGAATAGAAATGAAGTACTCTTTTAGAATTTGAAGAAGGACCTTGCGTCATTAAGTTATAAGGTCAGCTGAATATATTGCACAGTACGAACAAGCAATGTGACTCCAACGCCTTGGCACCAGCAATAGCGGATGCAATTTCTCTGTGGTTCCCCCCAAGTATAGGCTCTTTAAAATTTAATTTTGATGGGACTATGTTTGAGGCAGAAGGAGTAATTGGAGTAGGTGTGGTAATAAGAGATGAATGAGGTACCTTTGTTGCTGGCTTGTCTAGGAAAGTCCTCTCCCCCTGTGTGGCACAAACGACATAAATTTTAGCTATTAGGGAGGTTGTCCGCTTTGCTGTGTAACAAGGCTGTGACGGAATTGTCTTGAAAGGGGATTCAATTAACATGATGAAGATGCTCACAGATGTTGAAAGTGAATTTGATCAGTTGGGTTTTGTTTTAGCGGATATCAGGATTAGTCTATGTATTTTTTGCTATTATTCTGTATCCACAGTTAGAAGAATATGGAATAAGGTAGGTCATAAGCTAATTAGACATGCTATTACTATTGATTGTGTGGCTGTATGGGAGGAGGAGGGATCAACTTTCATAGTGCCCCTCCTCCTCTCGGATATTTCTATTTAATCAAATTTCTACCGTTTCTATATAAAAAAAAAAAGATAATAATAAGATTTAATATTAAATATGTTTAAGTGATAGACTTAATTCATTATAAATTTAGTAAAGATGACTGATCCTCAATTATCACTAATTTTACAATATATGTACATTTTTTGTTATTATTTTTGGTATATATATTTAAATAAATTTGTAGTAAGTTAAAGGAACATTAACCATTTGGAAAATCCCAAAAAGTTTATTTGCAATAAAAGAGAACAATGTTTTTATGTAAGGATATAATAGTAAATTAGGTTCATATATGTTTTTTTTTTCTTTCATTTTTCTCTAATTCTAAACAATAAAAAATTAATTCCTCTAATTTTTCACCTATTGTGTCAAATAAAAAATAGAAAAAAATATATTTCTTCTTCAAAAGATTAAAAGTTTATCACTTATATTTTCGATCCTTTCAATTTTTCACATTTTTTGTACGAAACAGACGCCAAGTATCCTTAAACTATTTTATACACAAATCACTTATACTTGGTGACTTTATAATTTGATTATTTTTGTTTGTACCATACTGACATGATTGGTAGATCAAAATAGTTATTTAAAATGATAATATCTAACCGAATCTCTGTAAAGACTTTAATATTGAAATAACGTACGTGATGAGACCTCGAAAGTCACATGAGAAGATGGCCAAATGTTTAATTTACTTTTAGGCAGGGTTTGGGAGTGAGTGTTAGAAAGATGGGTTTAGACACTAAGATTGAAAATGAGTAAGATTAATACACACACACACACACATATATATATATATATTATATGATTAATATTTAATTTTTTATATTATAAAGTGACTCTCAGCACAAAATATTGCTATAGCTAGTATGTATATACATGAAGGTGCTACTATGGCAAACTGGAGAGAAGCTAAGGATATGATATTTATCAACTTTTGCAACAGCATAGAATACCAATTGGTTTCTTTTAAGTGTAACTTTGCTGCAAACACAGGACTAGCTATAATTTGTTAATCTAAGGTGATAATTACTTGATCCAATAATATTATGATGATTATAATTATTGAATTTTTTTTATTTGGACTCTATTACTTGTCATATTATTATATCAATAAATTAAATTAATTTTAATCAACTGTCATATCATTTAGGTTCTAAATTTAATTTTAAAATTTAATCAGTATAGCATTATTATTTTTAGATCCCAATAATTTACTCTTTAATTGCCAACGTAAATTGTCAGCACGTTAATGGCCCACTTCTTGCCCTAAATAACAAACGATACATGACTTAATGAGATGGATACAATTAGCTGTGAAAGATAACACTGACACCCCCTTTAGGTGTGTGCGACTGCAACATAGGTACCCCTGTCGTTAAATTCCGTTTGAAATATCATCCAATTTTTCTGACATTAACTTTTTTAAGCTTATAATTACTAAATTGTCATTTATTAGATAATCCAAAATCTCACAAAAAACCTCATATGATGTTGACCCAGGTATGGGCCTGTTATTTTCATTGGTGTCGAGTATAAAGAGTATATATAATGGTCATTTTACAACTGTCGTTAGATTTGATCTGTCATCGTTACAAATAAGGGACGGCAATGTAATTTTTATACCTGGAGGGGTTGACGTGATTTAATGACAAACCCTAGGACATCTAGATGCAATTTATCCTAAAATAGATTTTACCTCACAAGGTTTCTATGATGTCGCCTTTGTTTACTCCGTTTGAAAGACACATTACCACAACTTTACTTTATCAGTGAAACTAACACAATTTGCTGATTCTGCTGCTATGCCTTCCTCTTTCTTTGGGATTTCGCTCTCCCTGATTATCATCAACATGGCCTCCATTATGGAGAGTGCTGATGAAAATCTCCTTCCAGGTGTTTACAAAGAGGCCAGTGAAGCTTTTAACGCAGGGCCATCCGATCTCGGGTACCTTACTTTCATTCGGAATTTCGTGGAGGGGGTGGCATCTCCGATGGCGGGTATTCTAGTAATTAACCATGATCGCTCGACAGTTGTTGCCCTGGGCACCCTGTGCTGGGCTTTATCAACAGCAGCAGTGGGTGTAAGCCAGTATTTCTGGCAAGTTGCGTTTTTGAGGGCGGTGAATGGGTTGGGTCTGGCTGTTGTGATACCGGCGCTTCAATCTTTGATTGCTGATAGCTATGACGATTGTTCGAGGGGGGGTGGGTTTGGGTTTCTGAAACTAACTGGTGCTTTGGGTGGCATAGGAGGTGGAGCTGTTGCTACGGTCATGGCTGGCTACGAGTTCTGGGGCATACCTGGGTGGCGTTGTGCCTTCATTATTATGGCAACACTCAGTTGCTTAATTGCCTGTCTTGTGTTTTTGTTTGTGGTTGACCCAAGAGGAACAATTATCATTCATCAGGAGTCGTCTGACGTGAACACCGAAAGGTAGAGTTTGTTGGATTTGTTTTCTTTTTTTTTTTCAGTTTTCTATAAAAAATAAAAAAAGTATTGAGATAATTTTCTGTTAGATTTTTTTTTCAACACACACCGAACGCAACCTCTTAAAAGCGGAAGTGCCCAGACGATATTTAAATTAACATAGACACCCAAAATTATCCGAGATAACCCAATCAAATTTTCAGTTAGTTTAACAGAACATGTAGTAGTGTGAATTAATTAAGTAATATTATTTGAATTTAAAATTTTAATTTAATTTATCGATCTAAATATTTGATTTATAGGTAAGCAAATTAGGTCAAATTGATTTATATCATATACCAATAAAGAGTGATATTATTTAGAACTCAAAATTTAACCTAATTTATTAGCCTAATACATAATTTCATTAAAATTATTGAATTAACACTAAATTTTAATATTTGGTAAGACTCATAGTTAATTTAAATGTCATAATAAATTATGTATCAATAATATTGTTCATCAACAAATATTGGACATTTTCAATCGGTGATGGCCACATTAATTTTTTAGAATTTTTTTTTGGAAAAAATAACCTGTGTCCCACAAGTTAATATTGTGGTAATATGTTAAACTCAATAATTTCCCTAACTTTCCGTACATTAATTTATTTCACAACAGCTCAAAAAAATAAAATTATTTCACAAGAAAATTTTTGGTGGGTGTAATACACCACTTGACAATGTCTAATGTACATGGTCAATGGAATGTTATANACTAACACAATTTGCTGATTCTGCTGCTATGCCTTCCTCTTTCTTTGGGATTTCGCTCTCCCTGATTATCATCAACATGGCCTCCATTATGGAGAGTGCTGATGAAAATCTCCTTCCAGGTGTTTACAAAGAGGCCAGTGAAGCTTTTAACGCAGGGCCATCCGATCTCGGGTACCTTACTTTCATTCGGAATTTCGTGGAGGGGGTGGCATCTCCGATGGCGGGTATTCTAGTAATTAACCATGATCGCTCGACAGTTGTTGCCCTGGGCACCCTGTGCTGGGCTTTATCAACAGCAGCAGTGGGTGTAAGCCAGTATTTCTGGCAAGTTGCGTTTTTGAGGGCGGTGAATGGGTTGGGTCTGGCTGTTGTGATACCGGCGCTTCAATCTTTGATTGCTGATAGCTATGACGATTGTTCGAGGGGGGGTGGGTTTGGGTTTCTGAAACTAACTGGTGCTTTGGGTGGCATAGGAGGTGGAGCTGTTGCTACGGTCATGGCTGGCTACGAGTTCTGGGGCATACCTGGGTGGCGTTGTGCCTTCATTATTATGGCAACACTCAGTTGCTTAATTGCCTGTCTTGTGTTTTTGTTTGTGGTTGACCCAAGAGGAACAATTATCATTCATCAGGAGTCGTCTGACGTGAACACCGAAAGGTAGAGTTTGTTGGATTTGTTTTCTTTTTTTTTTTCAGTTTTCTATAAAAAATAAAAAAAGTATTGAGATAATTTTCTGTTAGATTTTTTTTTCAACACACACCGAACGCAACCTCTTAAAAGCGGAAGTGCCCAGACGATATTTAAATTAACATAGACACCCAAAATTATCCGAGATAACCCAATCAAATTTTCAGTTAGTTTAACAGAACATGTAGTAGTGTGAATTAATTAAGTAATATTATTTGAATTTAAAATTTTAATTTAATTTATCGATCTAAATATTTGATTTATAGGTAAGCAAATTAGGTCAAATTGATTTATATCATATACCAATAAAGAGTGATATTATTTAGAACTCAAAATTTAACCTAATTTATTAGCCTAATACATAATTTCATTAAAATTATTGAATTAACACTAAATTTTAATATTTGGTAAGACTCATAGTTAATTTAAATGTCATAATAAATTATGTATCAATAATATTGTTCATCAACAAATATTGGACATTTTCAATCGGTGATGGCCACATTAATTTTTTAGAATTTTTTTTTGGAAAAAATAACCTGTGTCCCACAAGTTAATATTGTGGTAATATGTTAAACTCAATAATTTCCCTAACTTTCCGTACATTAATTTATTTCACAACAGCTCAAAAAAATAAAATTATTTCACAAGAAAATTTTTGGTGGGTGTAATACACCACTTGACAATGTCTAATGTACATGGTCAATGGAATGTTATACATTTTCGAAAATTGCTATCGCTCATCAACTTGTTAATTTAAAAAAAAAAAAAAACTACTTTATGTGTCTGACAAATTAGTATTGTAATCGTTAATCATTAAACGTCCACATCACTTGACACTGTTCATTTCATTAAACCTGCTGAAATTTTTGTCATTATTCCACCTTCCATGTTATCTCCAACCACCCTATTAAATTATTTGGTGGAGATTCTGGAGGCAAAATAGCACAGATTACTATTATAAAGTCCTGTTAATGTTATATATTTATTAGGGATAACACGTATTTAAAGGCACGATACAAATATAAATAATTTGAAAAAGATGTTAATAGTCGTTGGATGAGTTTATTTGAAACCATTAGATAAACTTATTAAAGTCTATGCTATTTTATATTATAAATATGTTTGCTCCACATGCATTGGTTATGTTATAAAACTTCACTACTTTCTTGTATTACAAATAAACCTTCTCATGTATATGGTAAAATACACCAAAGTAATAGAAAATTGTTATTCATTTTCTATTATCTTCTTTTCACATAGTATCAAATCCTAGGCTCATGAATTTTTTAGGCCAAGTATAGTATGCTCTATGGTTGCCTTGCGGGAGATTCTCCCCACATTAGAACTCTTGAGGCTCTTCTTCTTCTGACCGTCCTCTGATGATTTCTCAATCGTCATTCGATGACATTCCTGCCATCTTCTAGCGACTTTCTGGTCGTCCTTCGGCACGTTTCGATCACCTCTTGGTCATCCTCTGGCGACTTCGACGAATTTTTGATCATCTCCTGACCATCCAACGACGACTTTCAGTTTCCTCTGGCGACATTCTGACTTGTGCCAACCAGTTTTTTGTGCTTGTTCTAGATTCGTGCGAGTCTATTCCATTAATCTAGTCATAAACTGCTACAAATGTCTAGCTCCTCTATTGCAACCACTCTTACTACGAGAACTTTGTTGTCTTCTGTTACTACAGTTGACCTTGAGGCAATGGTGACTAAGGTTTTATCTTGTTCTTCCACTATCTTATTAGTCTCCTAAGATAAATCTTCTCCCTGATTTCTCGAATCAACTTGTCACAATTGTATGATATTTGATTCTTTCATGGTGTCTAATAAAAAATCTTTAAAGTCGTACCTCACATATATACTGCCGATGGTTCACATATGTCTGTTACTCATGTTGGTCCTATTTTTACCCGTACTCTTTCTATACTTGACACATATGTTGTTCCTAACTTGTCTTTAAATCTTCTTTCTGTTGGTCAACTTGTTGAATATGGTCTTATCTTAATATTTTCTCAAAAAAGGTGTGATGTACAAGATTAAAAGATGGGCCAGCTCGTTGGGACCGAGCGTTAAGTTGATTGCCTTTTTTAGCTTACATATCTGCATATGTCTAACTCATGTTATGTTCGACCTCTTGCTGATGTTGTTTCTTTTAGTATTTGGCAATCTCGTATCGGTCATATATCTTTACCTTGTGTTCAGTCTTTAACTTCTAGTGATTGTTTAGGAGATGTTAACTTTTAATCATATGATTGTATGTCGTGTCAATTAGGCAAATAGAAAGCTTTACCATTTATTAGAAGTGATTCTTTGTCTTCTACACTTTTTGATTTGGTTCATTTTGATATATGTGGACCAATTCCTATCTTCACTAAGGGTAGGTCTCGTTATTTTGTATTTTTTATTGATGATTATTCACGAAACACATGACTTTAACTTTCACATGATCGCTCTAAGTTACTTTATATTTTTTATGATTTTATGCAGATGATAAAAATTCAGTTTGGTTGCACTATTAAAATCTTTCGTTCCGATAATGTCATAGAGTATAAAGCTGCCTCGTTCATTGAAAAACTTAAATAGGCAAGCACCTTATCTCATCGATTGTATCCTTACACCTCCTAACAGAATGGTTGTGTAGAACGTAAGTATCATCACATTCTTAACATTGTTTGTTTTCTTCGCCTCTCCGCCTTTCTCCCAAAATCTTTTTGGGGAGAAGCCGCCCTTACCACTATTTACACTATAATTGAGTTCCATCTCCTATTATCTCTAATCGATCTCCAAGTGAGTTTTTCTATGGAAAGGTAACCGATTATTCTCTTTCAAAAGTATTTGGCTGTGTTTGTTTTGTCTTACTTCCACCTCATGAGTATATAAAACTTGAACCCCATTCTCGTCTCTATTGCTTTCTTGGTTATGACATTGAGCATACGGGTTATTGGTGTTATGGCTCCATAACCAAGTGTCTTCGAGTCTCTCAACATGTTCTATTCAATGAATACAAAGTTTTCATTAGTGTTTCTCAATTCTCATCCGATACTTCCTCATATTCTCTTATTTTCACTAACCCATTTGTAGATATTTTTCCAAATTTTCTTTGTGATGCAAGTAATGTAAGCTCATCAAGTGATAACTCAACAATTGCCCCTCTCAATTTTGTACTGCCTGTTGATTCTATCATCACATCTGTTCCATCTGAGTATAACTCAACGACTGCTCCTTATGAATTTGGACCATTTGTTTATTTTGTCGTCACATTCGATCCACTTGAGTCCTCCTGCACTTTTGATGTTCATCGTTCCAATAGGTAAGAGCTTCCCTTATCCATCTTAGTAATTTTCATTGTTTTTCCATTCTTGTTACTCTTCATGAGCCTCGTAGTTATCGTGAAGCTTGTTCTGACCCTCTTTGAAAAAAAGTTATGTCTGAAGAACTTGATGCCTTTCACAAAACTCATACGTGAGATTTCGTTGATTTGCCTCCTAGAAAAACTGTAATTGGGAACAAATGTGTATATAAGTGGAAAACCAACTCTGATGGTTCTGAGGTGGGATATAAAGCTCGTTTGGTAGCCAAGAGATTTACATAGGAGTTTAACATTGACTATTAAAAGACATTTGCACTTGTTGCCTGCATTACCTCTATGCACTTCTTTTTGGTTGTAGCCTTTGCATGCCGATGGCCTCTGTTTTCAGATGGATGTGAAAAATGTCTTTTTACATGGTGACTTAATTGAGGGGGTTTATATGTAGCCTCCCTAGGAGTGTCCTCATCCTCTTGGTAAGGTGTGTCATCTTTAACGTGCATTATATGTGCATAAGTAAGCTTCGCATGCCTGGTTTGCCAAATTCAACTTCACTATCGCACAACATGGATTTGCTTCTAGCCCCTATGATTCTACCCTTTTTACTCGTCATACTAATGTTGGTATTCCTATTCTACTACTTTATGTTGATGATACAATCATTATTGGTGATGATACTTCTGGAATTTATAAGCTTAATTAGTTTTTGAGTCAGAACTTGGAGATGAAAGGCTTGGGCTCTTAGTTACTTTTTCAGACTAGAGATGTCTCAATCCTTTGATGGCTACTATTTGACCCAGGCCAAGTATGCTTCCGATTTTATTTCCCGTGTTAGTCGTACAGATTTAAGACGATTGATTGCCCCCTAGTGTCCAACATCAAACTCCATCCTCCTAATGGAGAGTTTCTTTCAGGGTGCTACACATTACCGACAGCTTGTTGGGAGCCTCATTTATCTCACTATTACTAGTTTGGATATTGCCTATATTGTGCATCTCGTTAGCCAGTTTATGTCTGCTCCTCATTATGTTCACTATGTAGCCGTTCTTTGCATCTTACGCCATGTAAGAAGTACCTTGTTCCATTTGCTTCATATTTCCTCACTCATCCTTGATGTTGCAGGTTGACTTTAATGTTGATTGCACAGGTGACCGTATTGATCAACGGTCTACCACTCGCTTTTTTTTTTTTTCTTCTGTACTGGGTAGTCACTCTCTTATATTTTGGCATAGTAAGAAACAAATAGTTGTTGCTTGCTCTGGTATTGAGGTTGAGTACCGAGTACATGTTCATACTACATCCTTTGGCTTCTACTTGATATGTGTGTTTCTCATCAGTCTAGTACTCCTCATTATTACCAATGGGTATTTGATCCAATAGTACTCTTTATCTTGTGAAGATTTTGTCTTCTTAAGGTCAAGGGTTTAAGTCCCCTTTCACCTCCCCCTCCAACAAAAAAATGTACTCCTCTTTATTGTGACAACTGTAGCGCTATTCAGATTGTTTATAACGATGTCTTTCATGAGCGCACAAAACACATCGAACTCAATTGTCATATTGCGTGTCATCACTTGTAGGAAAGGCACTCTTCATCTTTTTTCAGTTGTTTCATCTAAATAGTTGGCTGATAGCTTCATGAAGGCTCGTCTATCTAGTCACCATAGTGATTTGGTTTGCATACTCTAGTTGACACTTTCAACCGCACCTTGAGTTTGGGGGGATGTTAATGTTTATATAATTATATGTTTGCCCCACGTCGATTAGACTAGGAGATTTCATTACTCTCTTGTAATATAAATAAACTTCCTCGTGTATATGGTAAAACATGTTAAAGTAATTTAAAATTGTTATTCATTTTCTATTTTCTTTTTTCACAAGTCCAAAATTTTAACCTCGTTGAAGAGTCTACTTTGTCCAACATGATGGTTTTTCAGAAGTTATACCCATCCGAAAGTTTTTATAGGGTGATTTGAAAGTCGGTACAATTTTTTAAACTTATTTGAGCAAAAATACAACACAAAATCTTATTTGGGCTCAAGTGCATATTTTTAAAAAATGACAACATTGTCATTCAGTAAATAGCTGATAAGTTGAAACCCTTTGTATTCCTTTCATATATTTTGGCTACAATCAAACAATGAGAGGTAAAATAAGGGCATATTTTCTCTAACAATTTCTTTATCTTTTTTTCTATTTTCTCTTACTCTATTTTTATTAATAGTATAACAATACAATTACACTAATTCGTTACATTAATTAGTTACAATTGTCCTACAATATACCAAACAGTTACTCATGCATTATAATAAATCAAACAATTACACAAAATTATGACGCAAGTCCAATTTATTATTTAGTTGTTTATATAAACTAAATAGTTGCATCATTTAGTATCACAACATCGTTATAGTATCATACCTTAACAATTACATGAGACTGTGATTGATACACTCATTAAAAAATAGTTACATCCATTAAAAAAATAGTTACACTCATTAAAAAATAGTTACACCCATTAAAAAAATAGTTACACCAATTAAAAAACAGTTATACCTATTAAAAATAAAGTTTTTTTTTCCTACATCCCAACAACGAACAATACATAATATCTAACAAAACATCTTGACCAATTTCTATAATTGACAGTAAATTATCTCACGTTTACAATTAATATTTGAAGAAAGCTACAATAAATCAAAAACTAAAATTTTTTCATAATTAAAGTGCAAGGACCAAAAAAGAAAATATAACAAGCTTATACTTCTGCCAAAATGTGCAAAAAAATTAGGGTTAATTACAAAAAACATCAGTAAACTTGAGTTCATTCGAACATCACCAACTCAATGGTTAGGGTTACACTAAACCCCTCTTATACTTACTAACAAAGTGTAAAAGTAACGAAATTTGTATTTTTTGACTGCCGTATGTTATAGTATTAAATAATGAATGTCAGCTCAGAATCAGACTATTTTCTACCTAACATATTATATTTAATGACAGTTTTACCCCTAAAGATATAAACCCAGAAAAATTCTCTCTTTTCTTCCCCTCTCTCTTTTTTGTTGGCTTCCAGCTCATTTCTGTTGCAGATTTCCTTCCTATTTTTATGTTTTTGTAATAGAAAGAAAATCAGAATAATGGCAGAGTAGTTCAAACTTTTTTAGCAACATATGTTACCTCTGTTTCAGTTTGCACTTTATTTGCAAATATGAGAGAGTTTAATGCAACCCATCGTATATTTGACGGGGCTGATGTGCAAGAGGCCATAAGTTGAACGAGTTTTTTCATAATTAACCCTAGGCCTACTTGCTTTCATACAAATTTGATAGGACTTCATATTATTTGAAAGGAGAAAGTAGGAGCCCATGATAACTGTTTTGTTTTTTTGGGTTCCTAGTAATGATTACTTTCTCTTACTAAAATCGGGGGTTTTAGATGACCTTATCCTTATCCTTATCCTGCTCAACATTTTTCAGTTTCTTCCATTGCTTGGTAACCCAGTTGCTTCCTGTTTTAGGGACTTTCTGTTACGAAAAGAGCATGCCAGAATAGCATCAACTTGGGTGGAGTCATGGACAGCACTGAAAGCTGTCATGAAAGTGAAAACATTTCAGTTCATTGTCTTGCAGGGTCTTGTTGGTTCACTGCCTTGGACAGCCAATGTGTTCTTCACCTTTTGGTTTGAGCTAATTGGTGAGCATGAATACAAATCTCAATATGATATTCTTTGTTATGCACATTATGTTGAATTTAAAACCAACAAGTACAGGCCCATGGTTTGAAACATGGGTTGCAGTTTTCAAACAAGACACAGTTAGAACGACATAACCGGAATATAAATTAGCAAATTAAAATTGATGTGCTTTCAAAACTAATCTGAAAACGCACGATCTGCTTACAAGAATTGTAAACTGAACGAGTTAGAGTTAAGTGCAAATCCCTTGATTTTGACACAATCAGAGCACGTCTAGTTGAGATAGAATAAGATAAATTATTGGGCTTCTCATTTTTTTCAATTTCCGGATTTGGTGTCGGGTGATTCCTTGTAAAGGTAAAGTATTTTCCACTTGGTTCTAAAAGCATCTGGATCAAGTACATTCTTAATTTTAATTTATGACAGACTTGTAGGACTTTGGTCTGGTCTGGCTGAGAGATAATGAAGTTTCAGTTTTGAATTTTTGATTCATATTTGTGCATATCAACTTCTGAACGCAAATGAATGAAGGGCCGGGGTACATAGCATAGGATCATCTGACACAATTCACTGAACTAGTCGAGTTAGTGGTGACTATTACTCACTCATTTGGTATCCATGACTTATGTTTTCCCTTATGCAGGTTTTGACCACAATAGTGCAGCACTTATTAATAGTCTTTTTAATGCTGGACGTGCCATAGGGGCCTTACTCGGAGGATTAATGGGAGATCGAGTGTCACTCATTTACCCTAATTCAGGACGTATAATGTGTGCACAGTTTAGTGCTTTCATGGGTGTCTCAACCTCATGGTTCCTTCTTACAGTCATCCCACAGTCAATAAACAGCTATTCTGCATTCGCTGTCTTCATGTTCATCACAGGCCTTACCACCAGCTGGTGTTTTAGTGCTACAAATGGCCCCATGTTCGCGGAGGTGGTACCGACAAAAAATCGGACAATGATATACGCATTTGATCGTGCTTTCGAAGTGTCTTTCTCTTCTTTTGCTGCTCCTGCTGTTGGAATTCTTTCCGAGAAGATATATGGGTATGATCCAACCTCTGTTGATCCAGCCTCAGGGTCTGCACGAGACGCCTACGCCTTGTCAAGAGGGCTTTTAGCGATGATGGCAGTTCCATTTGGTTTGTGTTGCTTGCTTTACACGCCTTTGTATTGGCATTTCAAGAGAGACCGTGAGAATGCTAAAATATCCAGTTTGGAAGAGGCCGATAATATTTGATTAGTTTATATACTTGTTGACACTTTAGTAACAGTTTAACTGAATAATTTAATTATTTTGAGAGTAATATTATTTGAACTTAAAAATTTGATTTAATTTGTTGATATAATGATGAAGCTTCAGCAGAATTATTAGATCAACACCAAATTTCAATGTTTGATGGATCTTACAATTAATCCAAATGTCATAGTAAATTAGGTCAATAAATTAGGTCCCAATAACATTGCTCTATTTGAAATAATTGTAATTATTAAAAAAAATTATTATTTGGACAGTTATGATTATTAGAAAACAGCACTATTTAACTATATGTGACTATTGACAAAGATATTTGTTTAGAAAGATTCTGACAATTGATAAAATATACCTCTTGCGCAGGCGCATGACTTTAGGAAAAGACATTGATTTGGAGTTGGCTAAAACACTTACATAGAGAGTTGTGGCTTTTGAAAAAATTTCGCAAATGGATCGTCTCCCACGTTGAAACACGTGGAATGCTAAACGCTACATAGGGAGGGTGAATATGTTAATTTCAAATTAGATTGAGCAAACACCAAATTATAACCTAATCTATCATAATTACTTCTTTCTCAAAAATTAATTAATCAAATAAAAATTGAAAACCCTTTACCAGGAACAACACATGAAATCCATGAAGATTTGTATAATGAATTTATCAATTAACACTTAATCTCTCATGGGGATCCCAAACTAAGGCAACAAACCCAACCAAACCACTATGTATGATAAGAATGTTCAAATAAACATATTGATAATACATAGTGCCTCTGTATGCATTAAATCACAAGTGTGTACAATAAAACAATAAACAACACAAGTAATTTATTGACGCGAAAAACTTTCTTAAAAAAAATCGCGAAGAATCACTAGAGGTTCACCAAAGCCTAATCCACTATCCCACAATCAATCTATAAATATTCGAGTCTTATACCTCAATCAATATTATTGTTAGATACTCATTTCCTCCAATAGATCTCTCCATCAGATACATCCATCGATATCATGGATAACTTCATTTGAACATCCTGCCGTACGATTCATTTAGGCCTCGAATAACCTTCTCTAGTAGAATCCTTGGTATGCACACTCTTCAAGTGAGTTTGGTAAAACCAATCAAGTTATTCTTCCCCAATGTGTGAGGTTGGAGAAGAATCATAAGATGAGTTAGCCTTTGAATTTAAGAATCTAGAGTTGCTTTATGATCTCTCAAGGTTTAGATGTAAGAAATAAGCTCACATGAAAGATTACCCTAGCTTAGGAAGGCTCCCGCTTTTATAGGCTCGAGATAGGGTTTGTCTTGGAGATTAAGAAAACATATATTCATGAATGATCACTAATCAAGTAATGGAAGAGCGGCGGGAGGGTGGTTGTTGCTGGAATGAAAAAGGAATTCAAACTGTAGCAGTAGAGCAAGGATTGCTTGAGCGGCCTGAGAGTGATCTAGAGGGTGGTCTCCACTGTCCACTCGTTCTGCCTTCTTGATTTTATCCCTAAGTATGTAAAGACTGCTCTAGCAAGTGCTAGCGAATATAAGGCGGTCCCTAAAACCAAGCCTAAAATCAATCAAAAAACTTGTCCTCAAGTTGGGTCTGATTATGATTCAAACTATGTTTTCAAACATAATAAGGTTTAGAATTTTTTTTTTTTTGAAAATCCAAATGATTTATACTCAGATTAATCACTAATTCCATTTTAACAATAATCCTCAAAAGTCTAATAAATTAAACTAAGGGTTCTTAAGTCTCTAAGACCATTTATCTTTGTCCTAAGTAAGAAGGTACATATAGAGGGTCACTTGATATTGCTTGAATCATGATCTCATTCCTTTCATTGATGCTTTTAAATCTTCAACATTGTAGCACTGTGACCGTGAAATAAGTTGAAATTTATAAAAAGATTTCAGAAAATTAACCAATTACAAATATGATCCAAACAATCTCTCCATTTGACAATTTCGTGACAAAATACATAAGTAAGAAATTTAAAATTCAAATCCATAACCCAATAGAATAAAATGAATCATAATCTAATTTTAACACTCATATACAAGTCTCTAGATCTCAATATATCTATACAAAAATTGTCTTCTGATGAATGCTTCGATAATCGTAGTCTTGCACATCACCACTCAAACTATATCTCACGAAAAACATCATATTTATGAAAGACATATTGTAATCATAGGTATGGTTAGCACCAAGAGAAGCATATCACATTTTCATGTTAACATCATGCAAGTATAAATATATAACATACGTAAGAAATTCTCATCTAATATGCTTGAGAACATATGAATATAACAATAACAATGCACAACAAGTTCTCCCCTTAGTTGGGGTTCACAAAGAAAATAATAATGTAAAATAAACAAAAAAAAAATAAAAAAGGTGACTTCATGTCAAGTTTGTGTATGTACTCCCAATTTGAGTAATAAAATAAACTCCCCCTTAGTCCATGCTAATGCACTAACTCATGCTAGTAAATGAAAAAAAATCTCCAAAATTACTTTTGGGATTTTTTTCCATTTTTGTCACGTCCACAAAAGAAGTCCTAATCAGCAGTCTTTCACCCAGCAGTTTTTCTATTTGTTGACTTGCACTGATTAGGTGCTGCTGGTACTGGACAAGATGACCTTGGTGGAATGAATACTCTCCCAATGCCTATTAACCTTTGGATGGCTTCTTGAGCTCTTCCATCGATCGAATTCACTAATTGAACATTTCTTCTAATCTACATAATACATAAGGGTTTAGATTCATTAAACATGAATTATAAGATATAGGAAATAGAACAACCATAATCCTCACTCACCGGTAGTTCGGCTCTTCTGCCAGTAGTAACTTTGAACCTACTAGGCTGAGATCTATATGTTTGTTGCTGAGATGTGGTTGGTGCTTGACTGGTAGTAGCCTAGTTTTTAGAAGNGGTTGTTGCTGGAATGAAAAAGGAATTCAAACTGTAGCAGTAGAGCAAGGATTGCTTGAGCGGCCTGAGAGTGATCTAGAGGGTGGTCTCCACTGTCCACTCGTTCTGCCTTCTTGATTTTATCCCTAAGTATGTAAAGACTGCTCTAGCAAGTGCTAGCGAATATAAGGCGGTCCCTAAAACCAAGCCTAAAATCAATCAAAAAACTTGTCCTCAAGTTGGGTCTGATTATGATTCAAACTATGTTTTCAAACATAATAAGGTTTAGAATTTTTTTTTTTTTGAAAATCCAAATGATTTATACTCAGATTAATCACTAATTCCATTTTAACAATAATCCTCAAAAGTCTAATAAATTAAACTAAGGGTTCTTAAGTCTCTAAGACCATTTATCTTTGTCCTAAGTAAGAAGGTACATATAGAGGGTCACTTGATATTGCTTGAATCATGATCTCATTCCTTTCATTGATGCTTTTAAATCTTCAACATTGTAGCACTGTGACCGTGAAATAAGTTGAAATTTATAAAAAGATTTCAGAAAATTAACCAATTACAAATATGATCCAAACAATCTCTCCATTTGACAATTTCGTGACAAAATACATAAGTAAGAAATTTAAAATTCAAATCCATAACCCAATAGAATAAAATGAATCATAATCTAATTTTAACACTCATATACAAGTCTCTAGATCTCAATATATCTATACAAAAATTGTCTTCTGATGAATGCTTCGATAATCGTAGTCTTGCACATCACCACTCAAACTATATCTCACGAAAAACATCATATTTATGAAAGACATATTGTAATCATAGGTATGGTTAGCACCAAGAGAAGCATATCACATTTTCATGTTAACATCATGCAAGTATAAATATATAACATACGTAAGAAATTCTCATCTAATATGCTTGAGAACATATGAATATAACAATAACAATGCACAACAAGTTCTCCCCTTAGTTGGGGTTCACAAAGAAAATAATAATGTAAAATAAACAAAAAAAAAATAAAAAAGGTGACTTCATGTCAAGTTTGTGTATGTACTCCCAATTTGAGTAATAAAATAAACTCCCCCTTAGTCCATGCTAATGCACTAACTCATGCTAGTAAATGAAAAAAAATCTCCAAAATTACTTTTGGGATTTTTTTCCATTTTTGTCACGTCCACAAAAGAAGTCCTAATCAGCAGTCTTTCACCCAGCAGTTTTTCTATTTGTTGACTTGCACTGATTAGGTGCTGCTGGTACTGGACAAGATGACCTTGGTGGAATGAATACTCTCCCAATGCCTATTAACCTTTGGATGGCTTCTTGAGCTCTTCCATCGATCGAATTCACTAATTGAACATTTCTTCTAATCTACATAATACATAAGGGTTTAGATTCATTAAACATGAATTATAAGATATAGGAAATAGAACAACCATAATCCTCACTCACCGGTAGTTCGGCTCTTCTGCCAGTAGTAACTTTGAACCTACTAGGCTGAGATCTATATGTTTGTTGCTGAGATGTGGTTGGTGCTTGACTGGTAGTAGCCTAGTTTTTAGAAGCTCTTTGTTGCTGAGATGTGTTTGGTGTTTCATTGCCAGTAGCCTATTTTTGCAAAGTTGTTTGTTGCTGAGATGTGAATGCTTGACTGGCAGTAGTCTGTTTTTGAGAAGCTGTTTGTTACTGAGATGTGGATGATGCTTGACTGCCACTAGACTATTGCTAAGAAGCTCATGGGTGTTGAGATGTTTCTTGACTGCCAGTAGACCCTTTTCCTTTGTCTTTTTTTTTCATTGTCTACAATGTCTGACCTTTGCATATTCTTAGGTTGTGTCCATTGTTGCCACACTTGGTAAAAACAATTTTAATTCTTCTTTTACTTAGCTTGTTGTCTTTTCTTGGTTCATCTCTGGTTTTCTTCTCCTTGCCTTTCTGCGTCTTCCAGGCTGAACTTGTACCACGGGAGGCTGTAATGGATGTCCCCCAACTCCTTTTTGAAGTTGTTTTCAAGGTGTCTAAGACAGAACCTATGCACAAAATTAGGTAATATCTCATGT